AATCTTCTTCTTTGTCAACCATTTTCCATCCACTCCTGAATGTAGGTCTCTCCCAATTTCTTCCATCTTTCTCTATCTTGCGCCAATCTAATCCACTGTTTGTCTGCCACTGCTCTTATTTCATCTACCCATCTTTTTGAGGTCTTCCCATGCTTCTTGTTGTCGTCCTTGGTCTCCATTCTAGAATTCTCCATGCCACCTGTTGTCATTATATCGGGCTACGTAACCTGCCCAGCACGCTACGAAACCAATACCAGTGTAATATTGTTATATTCCGTTAGCCTGTCGAGTTCCTCTCAGCATTTGCACACTAGCCTAGGGCTCCTAAGAGCCCCCAAGGCCGTTTAACGCTTTATGTATATAAAGATCTGCTTCAATTCAAAAACCTTAGTAGTTTAATTAGTTTCTCGCCCACTCAGATCTTTGTCTGTTTCGATCTACCTCAGTGGCAGATGATAATATGTTGCGTTAAATAAAACTGAATCCGGTTTATTTTATAGTTAATAGACCATGAGGTAAATACTGGCTAATAATGGAGTCACGAAGAAAGTGGGAGGATGAAGTGGCAGCGGGTGCGCAAAATTTGATAGATGTAAGAACATGGAGAAGATAGGCGCTGGACCCGCATGGTTGGAAACATAGTTTGGAGGAGACCAAGGATCGATTTGGGCTTTAGTGCCATTGGAGAGAGAGATAATGGCGTATTATAAGGAACCGGCTAATAATGGAGTTCCATAAGGCCCAGTTTTGTGGTCCATTTTATTTCTACCGTCTATAAATTATCTACCAAGGTCAATGAAAGGCTTTTGCTTCGTGATAATGTTCGTTGATGACACAACCTTGTTAACAAGGAGCAGTTATTATTGGACAGAAGAACGTTTGGATAGAGCTTAGGCATGGTAAACAAACTTAAACTTAATGGGTATAAGACAGAATAATTTATTTATTTCATATAAATAGAAGAATAAATCTACCAACAAAGTTATTGGAAATCACTCTTAACACCAGATTGATCAATGAAATCGATCACCGAAATATGTTTTAATTAAATTTAAAATACTTCCTGCTTCTTGTATACATTATGGAATAAATAATGAACACAAGAATCAGGAACCCTAATCAGGAACAGAATCCATAATGTACATTATAGAATCCATAATAGAAATTTATAAGAATTTAGATACGTTAATTACTATTTATAACTGGGAATAAGCCACAATTAAAGATAAAAAATACGTTTATTGACGTTTCAATTTCCAATTCGGAAATCGTTCTCAAAATACAAACAGTAAATTAAACAAATTTTGTTTTTTGTTACATAGTGAAAAAATTCTTCTAATAATTTAATTTTATCTGACTCATTTATATTGACAATTCAGACATACATTATGCATTTTAAAGTAGACGACTTTAAAATGATATTGTCAATATTGTTGAGTTGCGCTCCTGGGACGACTTTACTATAAGATAGTTCATTCGATTACATGAAATCAACTTTAACTTGAGAATATCCGTCAGAAAAAATCATAGCATGTAATTCGTCTTTAAAAAGACAAACACATGACATGATGACAGTAAAATTCTCCTGTTAGTGATTCCATAGTAAATTATGAGGGAAAAACCAGGAAAAAAACCTCATAATACTATACCGACATTGTAAGTATGTGTTCGTGAATTTAGTTTACCTTCTATAAATATCAAAATTCTGATTTTATATGTTACGTTATTTAAAAAACATAAATGATGTATCCTCTATATGTTACTGACTTACTAATACTGGTATTTTCTTATTAATAACTTCCTCTTTCAATATTGGTAACCAGATCCTACTACATTCTGCCGAGGAATTTGCGACACAATTGGCCTCATTTAGCATAATTAGAGCAGCTTCTTTGATTTTTCTTTTTTTACCATCCGTTTCTTTTAGGACTATATTTGAATTATTCCATTGAACCCTATGTTCATTATCCCATGCGTGTTTACATATTTGAGATCTATCAAATTCTCTATTTTTAATATAAGATTGATGTTCACTTATTCTAACATTTAATGGCCTTGATGATTCACCTAAATAAAACTGATCGCATTCACAAGGTATTTTATAAATGCAATTCTTTGTCCTTTCTTGTTCATTGTTAGGTTTGGTTTTGGACAAAATAGATCTCAACGTGTTTGTTGTTTTGAATGTTGTTGAAATGTTGAATTTATTTCCTATCCTTTTAAGTTTTTCTGATAATCCTTTTATGTACGGTATTGTTATTTTCCTCATATTATTCCTTGTGTATGCTGTAGGATCTCGTTCTAAGTTGTTCTGTTCTATTCGATCGATTGTTGAAAATTCCTTATTTATAAACGATAAAGGATAATCATTTTTTAATAAAACAGATGTTAACAAATGTTTCTCCTCCAAGAACGAATTTTCGTTAGAGCAAGTAATTTTGGCTCTATCGTATAAGGATTTAATTATTCCCTTTTTTACATTAATATTATGATTTGATTTGAAATTTAAATATCTATTGGTGTGTGTTGGTTTTCTATACACCTGAGTCTCATATCCAGTATCGTTCTTAGAGATTAAAACATCCAGGAAAGGTAGCGTGTTATTATATTCCTTTTCCATGGTAAATGTTATTGTCTCTTCTTTATCGTTTATATCATTTAGGAATGTGTCCAACAACTCTGATCCATGAGGCCATATTGAGAATACATCATCTACATACCTCCACCATACTGTGGGTTTGAAATTTTGTTTAGAAATGATATTTGTTTCAAAATCTTCCATAAATATATCGGCTAAGAATGGAGATAAAGTAGAGCCCATTGCTAGACCAAAATTTTGTTTATAGAATTCATTATTTAGTTGAAAGTATGAAACAAGACTAAACATATCGGCTATAATGGAGTTATTAACATTATGTACTGATAATACATACTTTCAACTAAATAATGAATTCTATAAACAAAATTTTGGTCTAGCAATGGGCTCTAGTTTATCTCCATTCTTAGCCGATATATTTATGGAAGATTTTGAAACAAATATCATTTCTAAACAAAATTTCAAACCCACAGTATGGTGGAGGTATGTAGATGATGTATTCTCAATATGGCCTCATGGATCAGAGTTGTTGGACACATTCCTAAATGATATAAACGATAAAGAAGAGACAATAACATTTACCATGGAAAAGGAATATAATAACACGCTACCTTTCCTGGATGTTTTAATCTCTAAGAACCAAATAGAGCCAAAATTACTTGCTCTAACGAAAATTCGCTCTTGGAGGAGAAACATTTGTTAACATCTGTTTTATTAAAAAATGATTATCCTTTATCGTTTATAAATAAGGAATTTTCAACAATCGATCGAATAGAACAGAACAACTTAGAACGAGATCCTACAGCATACACAAGGAATAATATGAGGAAAATAACAATACCGTACATAAAAGGATTATCAGAAAAACTTAAAAGGATAGGAAATAAATTCAACATTTCAACAACATTCAAAACAACAAACACGTTGAGATCTATTTTGTCCAAAACCAAACCTAACAATGAACAAGAAAGGACAAAGAATTGCATTTATAAAATACCTTGTGAATGCGATCAGTTTTATTTAGGTGAATCATCAAGGCCATTAAATGTTAGAATAAGTGAACATCAATCTTATATTAAAAATAGAGAATTTGATAGATCTCAAATATGTAAACACGCATGGGATAATGAACATAGGGTTCAATGGAATAATTCAAATATAGTCCTAAAAGAAACGGATGGTAAAAAAAGAAAAATCAAAGAAGCGGCTCTAATTATGCTAAATGAGGCCAATTGTGTCGCAAATTCCTCGGCAGAATGTAGTAGGATCTGGTTACCAATATTGAAAGAGGAAGTTATTAATAAGAAAATACCAGTATTAGTAAGTCAGTAACATATAGAGGATACATCATTTATGTTTTTTAAATAACGTAACATATAAAATCAGAATTTTGATGTTTATTGAAGGTAAACTAAATTCACGAACAAATACTTACAATGTCGGGATAGTATTATGAGGTTTTTTTCCTGGTTTTTCCCTCATAATTTACTATGGAATCACTAACAGGAGAATTTTACTGTCATCATGTCATGTGTTTGTCTTTTTAAAGACGAATTACATGCTATGATTTTTTCTGACGGATATTCTCAAGTTAAAGTTGATTTCATGTAATCGAATGAACTATCTTATAAGTAAAGTCGTCCCAGGAGCGCAACTCAACAATATTGGCAATATCATTTTAAAGTCGTCTACTTTAAAATGCATAATGTATGTCTGAATTGTCAATATAAATGAGTCAGATAAAATTAAATTATTAGAAGAATTTTTTCACTATGTAACAAAAAACAAAATTTGTTTAATTTACTGTTTGTATTTTGAGAACGATTTCCGAATTGGAAATTGAAACGTCAATAAACGTATTTTTTATCTTTAATTGTGGCTTATTCCCAGTTATAAATAGTAATTAATTTACAATGCCACAAGAAAATAGCTTCAGAACAATATTAGATACGTTGTCAAAACTTGCGGCTTTTCAAACACTTTACAATAAATTTGATCAATTTTTGACAGGCAAAAATATAAAAAAAATATGAATAATTTCACAAAACCGTTGTATATCAGATATTTTATTGCATTTTATATATTTCTTACTGACGTCCACATATATGTATTATTTAAAACATTCTCTTTATGAACATTATATTTCGTTGAATCTGCAAAATCCTCTAACTTTTAATATTAAATTGAAATAAAAGAAAATTATGTAAAATCTGTAATACAAAAATTGTTAAAATCACGTCTTATATTTTTTAAGATAATAATTTGTTTAGTACCTCTTCATCCTGAATAAAAACTGCTCATATCTAGACCCTTCTTTTCTAACGAATCATACAATCACAATTTTTTCATTTTCAATCTATAAACTAAGATCCACGGTAACATCACATTGTTGAGATTTTTGTGTGCGTCTAATATTCGTTTATTCAAAAAAAGTTGAGAAATTAAAAGAAGTTAAGATAAATAAAACATGACATTGATAATTGCACAAAATTACAATTTCTGATTTTTTGAGATTAACATCCTTTACGGTAAATAAATCACTTGATGTCACATTTAGATAACAGTTTTACCAGGCGGTGTTGCTTACCTCGGTCTGAATTTCTGAATTCTTCTAGAATCTGAAAAAAAGAGAAACAAAAAATGATAGAAATATCGAATATCTATATAATAAAAAAAATATTGTAGACAGTGTTTCCTAAAGTGGGGGTCGCGACCCCCTGGGGGGTCGCCATGAGGTACTAGGGGGGTCGCCGAACATTTCCAAAATAAGACCAAAGCACCACTTTGTTAGATCATGTATTTTTATTTTAACAACGCCGTAAATAGAAATTAACAATTAGTTATCAGATGAAATATAAAACTAAATATTAAAGTCCGTAAAAATAAAAGAGTAAAACAAAGTCAAATATTATAATCTTAATGAGTGCTATGCGCCTGTTTCTGTGAAACTAATCTTTCAAATCTAGGCTGTGTATTTGAGACACACACAATTATATCATTTTCAAGTACGAGACGATTTCTAACTCTTGTTTTAATGGCAGTCATAGACGAGAAACTTAACTCACACAAATATGATGTTACAAATGGAACCAAACATGTTACAGCTTCACTCGCCAACTGGGGTATTCCTACATCTTTTCGGTCCAAAATTGGTCCGAGTTCTGGGAAAAAATTGGAGTTTCAACATGCCATCACTTGATATTTCAATAAGTTTTTCTTTCATGTTTATTGGTATTTCAACATGCTGAAAGGAATCGGATAAAAACGGATTTAGTATCCATCTGCAGCTGTCGTAACTGTTTTGAATTTCTTCGGGGAAATAATCACAGAGCTATTGTTTTAAATTGAGCAAAGTAACATGCATGTCAGCAAAAACTTGTTCAAAATTTCTAGCACTGTAATTGGATATATTCTCCATAATTTCCTGAAGGCACTGGAACGAATCGAGTTGTTTTTTGCCAAGTGAGGTCGACCATAAATCGATTTTTCTTAGAAACGTCTTAATTTTATCTGTGGCTGTAATTATATTAATGTCGCGACCTTGTAAATTACTGTTCAAAATATTTAATTGCTCGAAAATATCAGCAAGGAAACCTAGTTTCAGAAGCCAAATAGGATCGGAAAATTGATTTTCATATGGGGACTTCTCATCTTTCAAATACGTTAAAAGCTCTGCTCTTAAGTGAAATACTCTTTTTAAGACGTTGCCCCTTGAAAGTCACCTTACTTCGGTGTGATAGAGAAAATTTTCAAACAAAGCACCCATCTCTTCGCAAATTTTTCTAAAAATACGGGTCTGAAAAGCTTTTCCTTTAATGGAATTTACAACTTTAATGATGGTTTTCATAACACAGTCCATTTCAGGAGGTAAAGCTTTGGACGCAAGAGCTTCTCGATGTAAAAAACAATGTCTCCATTTGGCATTAGGCATTATTTCTTGTAATTTGACAAGACCAGATTTATGTCCTGTCATAGCTTTAGCGCCATCTGTGCATATAGCAATACATTTACCGCAGTAAATATCATATTTACTTGTACGTTTCACAAAAGTGTCGAGTTAACATTTTCCAGTGGTATTGGTCCCCAATCTGGAACAAAATAAAATATCTTCTTGAATGCCATTATTTGTATCATATCTTATAAACGTAATGAATTGGGCACAGTTAGATATATCTGTGGATTCGTTCATTTGAAGAGAGAAGTACGTGCATTTATTAAGATTTTCCACAACTTGCGCTTGAATATCTTCTGCCATATCACTAATTCTTCTTCGGATAGTATTATTTTACAGAGGTATTGTATTTAATTTTGCAGCCTCTCTTTCCCCACACATTATATGTACCATTTCAACAGTTGATGGAAAAATTAGATTTTCAGCAATTGTGTGCGGATTACTAGTTTTGGCAACACGATAAGCAACTTCATAACTTGCTAATAATGCTTTTTCATTAGTAGTGGTTGCCAAGGGAAAACTGTCTTGCTGTTTGTGAAAGACGTTCAGCTTTCTTTCAAATAATTCTACGGGCTTGTCTTTTTTATCTGGATGTTTGCTATTTAAATGTCCAAGTAACTTTGATGGCTTTATGCTTTCTTTTGACAAGACTTGTCCACAAATAACACATTGTGGTTTATTGGAAATAACGGAAAAACCATATTTAAGATATTCATCAATGTAAAATCTGTTTTTCTTTTTATGGCTGCTACTGCCCCTTTCAGACGTAGATGGTTCTGCACTTCTTTTTAAAAACTTATCCATAATTTATAATTTAACGTAGACGTAAATACGTAAACGGGAATACGTAAGTCGTAAAATATTTACTCATTACTCAACACAGCGTTCGCCACCATAGGCTGTTTGGATTCGAACCGAGGTTTCGTTGCGCATCGCCGCTTATATAAAGCCAAAACGAGGCTACGAGAACGTTCCAGAGTGCCATCTAGTAGCGAGCGCTTTCGCGATTATCATGGAAGAGTTTTGCGATGTAGACACAAGTAGATACAGTAGACTTCTTATTTTTTAATTTTAATTGTAAATGCTATTCTGGCAGAAGTACCTACTACTAATTACTAGTGGGACAGATCGCAATCATTAAAATAATTTTATTAAAATAAAATAATTGTTTTTGATTTAAACTTAAACAGTAAAGTAAAATTAAATTTGAGAAACCATCAGATAATTGTAAATTAGGCACGCTATTTCTGTCAAATAATATTGAATAAATGAGTGGGGGGAAATTGGGAGGTCGCGAACAAATTTTTTTAGCAAAAAGGGGTCGCGGTTTAGATAAGTTTGGGAAATTCTGATGTAAATTAAGGGCTTATTGCTATATAATGACAAGCCACATTTGTTCATTTTCTAGATATCTTCATTAATCTGTTAAGAAATATAATGCTAAGCCACAGGGTAAGTAGTTCAGCAATCAAATCATAGATGGCAGTACAGGAACCGTATCATTATATTGCACAGTGGTGTTTCTGTGAAATATTTTATGCAGATAGTGACAAGCCACTTTCTAATATGGTCGCCACCTACTCACCTTTGACATCTTGTGACGATAAAAACGATGTTTTTTGTGAAAATATGGAGCAACTAGATAGCACAAATAGCAATAATGATGGACATAGTGATCCATCACTAGATGATAGTGATCAAGATCCAAGCTATGATCCAGATTCAACGGTAAGCGTATTTTTTAAGAGTAGCTTTTCATATTCTACCTCTTAAATATTTTAACATCTATTTTACAAGATTTTCCGTTTTTATTGTGCAAATTTGTAAAAATAATTAGAATGGCAACAACCATTATTATAATAAGTTATAGAATATAAGCCTTCTTAGAAGAAATAACGGAAGATATTTAACGGTACTTTTAGGGGTAGGACATCCGCTACCTGCATATATAATTTGTATATTATCAGGCAGTTCAGAAAAAGCTTTTAACACAGTCGGTCGCAAAATCTCGTAAGCTAACAGTCGCTAGCTCGCAAATTCGCTTATTAATATAGTATATGTATTTGTAACTAAATACTTCGCATCGCAATATTATTCATAAAGATTATAAGTCAATCATTCATACTAATCAGTGTTTCTTCAAACCGCAGTATAGTTTTTATATAAACAGTTCATATATTCAAAACACCAGTGTTGCCAGTAGTTCGTTAACATAGAACCGACATTCCGCTAAGCAATTCTACTTGTAATTAGTTATATATAATAGTGAAAGTAGCGCCAGTGAAAAGTGTAGTTGAAATACCCCATATCACAGTGTTTTCGGACAGATTTCAGAAATTGCTATTTAATCTTAGTATTAAACATAAGTTAGTGTTTAAATCTGTTTTTCATTCCAGCTCCAGGCTGGTGGTCCTTCGTCCTTTAATTCGCTAAGTACGCTAATATTCAACCAATTATTATGATTTTTACTTATGTTTGTAGTACTTTTTTTTGTTAACCTCATCATGTACAATTTAGTGTGGATTATATAGCATATTGAAAATAACCTTTTTTTTTCAGGACGAATCTGAAAATATTTCGAGTGAGAACTATATTAGGGTCATAGAGTTAGTGGCCACTTAAACAATTTTTATAAGATTTTACATGTATATTCGGTAGGCTTGTGAATCGGTTGCAATATATTTTTTAGTCATTGAATTTTGACAAATTATTTAATTCTACTTACACTGTAAGACAACTCCTGCTTAAGTATCGAGGTGGTATGCTCGTTCCCGGAGCAGCAAGCCAACAAAGTTGGATACAAGATGTTGGACAGAGATTCTACTGAAAAATAAGGGAACGGCAAAGAACATAGTTGCTGAAGCACCGATGGTGATTGACCGCTGACCAGCAGCATCTGAAACAAAGATAATAATATTAAATATTGGTTACATACTTAATTAGGTTAGGCAAGTGATACAGCTTAATTACAGCATAATTTAAAATATGCAGCAAAAAAAATTCTGTCAAACGAACGAATTTAATATAGAAACATAATACAAATGTAACGTATATGGGCCCCTAAAAATTTCACCGAAATCAGTAATCCTATTGTTGAAAATGTTTTTACCATTACTTTGCCTTAGCAGGTTTAAAAAGATTCTAAAAATTTATTATGTTTATAATTATAAAGCACGTGGTGTTCGTATACACACGAACACCACGTGCTTTGTATTCAACAGGGATACTAGCCACTCCTTTATATCTCCATTTCATGGTTTGTTCCAGTTTCACTGTTAATTTTAAGTATATAATTATCTATTTAAATGGTGAAAACATTTATAAATGCTAAAAAATTTTCGTCTGACCCGACCTCTTTTGTATTGCACTTGCAAAATTCAATCTCAATAGCAGACATCCAACCAGAAGAATATACAGAATAACCAACACTGATATCACGTTTTTGAGTCACATTTGAATGAATATAAATGACCATATCCTATGTACAGAAAGCAGATTCGAAGATAGCTGGTTCTTAGGTCTGGCCTAATCATTTCAGATCGTTTCCCTTTCCTAAAGAAACAGAATTTTTGACTCCCAGACCACAATTATCGTACAGAAAATATTATCGGAAGGAAAATTAAGTTTTTTTCAAAGGTAGAATCACACAAAACCTCCCAGAGTTAGGCAACATCACATCAACGAACCAAGTTGACATAGGAATTCAGAGTACTCAGATATTATAAAAGATTTTGAGACCCAGTGCAACCGATTCTCACCATCGATCAGGCTGGAGGTCAACACGCTGAAACAACAGTAGTGGAGACAGCTAGTCTGAATTACATAGACGATGGAAAATCCTGACAAGACAAGAGTCCTACATCGATCTTCATCATCATCATTGGCTTTTACAACTCTTCGTGAGTTTTTGCCGCGTTTACTATTGCCTTCCATTGATTCCGATCCTGTGCTATTATTTCCTATGGCCTTACATCCATCTTCTCCAGGTCTTCCCTGACTGCGTCTTTCCACCCTTTTCTAGGCCTTCCTGTCGATCTTCTACCATCTGGTCTTTCCCAAAACACATTGCTAATCAGTCTATCGTCATCACTCCGTACCACGTGGCCTGCCCATCTTAATCTAATGGCTTTTATGTATCTTACGATGTTTCCTTTCCCGAAGAGAGTCTCTATTTCATTGTTGTATCTGCTCCTCCATTCATTTGTCACGCTGTCCCTGCAAGGACCATATATAATTCGCAGGATTTTGCGTTCCCATACTAATAGCTTATTGATTCCTTTCTTTCTCAATGTCCATGTTTCACTTCCATATGTCACTGCTGGTCGTATTATGGTTTTGTACATTTGGATTTTGGCACGCCTTGAGAGAAGCTTTGACCTCATTAGATGTTGAATGGCAAAGAATGATTTATTCCCCGCCAGTATTCGTATTTCAACCTCCCGTTCTCCTGTGTTTTCACTGGTAATTGTTGCTCCTAGGTATTTGAATTCTTTGACCACCTCAAAATTATGATCGTTTATGGTAATGTTTTGTCTTATTCGCTGTCGTTCCTTTTTTTATACGACCATGTATTTAGTTTTTTCTTCGTTTATTTTCAGGCCTACGCTTAGTGTTGCTTCTTCAAAGTTCGATACTATATCCTTAACTTTCAGTGTTGTCTGTGCTACTGCATCTACATCATCTGCAAATGCGAGAATAATCTTTGCCCCTCTGGCAGTTATGTCTGGTTTGACTCTGGTATAGATTTTTCGCATTGCGTATTCCAATGCTGCTAGGTTAAATAGTAATGGGGACAGCGGGTCTCCCTGTCTGAGCCCGGTGCTTATGCCGAAAGCCTTTGAAGTTTTGCCTCCTATTCTAATTTGTGCAAAGGAATTGTTGACACACATTCGCGCAGTCATGGTCAGCTTCTTTGGTATGCCTAACTCCATCATTGCACTCCACAATCATATGCTTGTTTGAAATCTATGAAGATCTGGTGTACTTCTTTATTATATTCCCAATACTTTTCTAGCATTTGTCTAATAGTAAATATTTGGTCGATTGTTGATCTTCCAGGCCTAAAGCCGCATTGGTAATCGCCAATAATTTCCTCTGTACATTGCAGTAATCGTTTTAGTACAACTGAAGCTAATATCTTATACATCGATCTTACCTAAAAATAAATAACATTATCATAAACGATGTCCTGATTCTTTTAAAAAGCAGAGAATAGATGACTCACTTCACAACCCTTACTCCTAACTAGGGGACAACTATCACCAGATAGTGGTCCCAGTAGACATAGACACCCTCAGAAGCTGTGTAGTGAAGACAAAAACACGGCCCTTGGCCTAGACGGTACTCACAAAAGATGCCTTAGGCAGCTTTCAAAAGGCACCTTCCCGCTGCTAGTCAAAATTATCAATGCAAGTTTTCGGCTGGAATATTTTTCTATCTGCTGGAGTCAGTATAATCATGATTCCGAAACTAGAGAATTCCCTCAACATTACTGAATACTACAGACGTATTTTACTCTTAAGCCTAGGCACGATTTCTGCTCTTTAGAAAGCGTTTGAGCAGTTCTGGCACTCAAGCCTGATCAAAAAACTTTACCAGCTTTGATACTCTCATACTCACATGCCTTTTTGTTCTGACCCTGTCAAACTTACTAACAAACTGTCTACTCCCTTTACTCCTCTAGTAGAAGTTTCACAAGAATCAAATACTAGCGCCTGTACTCTTACAGTTTACAATAGCGACCTCCCTATTCATAACAACAGATCCTAAAACAATCCAATACCAGATCGAAACCCTGACCGAAGGGCATTAAATCGCGTTATAGTGGAAAATCGACAAGCAAATTAAATGGAGCTAAGCGTTTTATAAATTGGAGGCCTTTGAAATGTGGATCTACCGGAGAATACTCAAAATTTCATGGACATCGCATACCTCAAACGAAGAAGTGCTGCTTAGAATAGGCAAGGAAAGAGAACTTTTTAACACAGTTAAAGTAAGAAAAACATCATACCTAGGCCACATACTGAGAAATAATAAGTACCAATATGCCCAACTTATAGTGAAAGGAAAAATCGAGGGAAAGAGAGGCCTAGGAAGGAAAAGACTATCATGGCTCAGAAACATCCGACAACGGACAGGGCTAAATTTTGAACAGCTAATAAGAACAGCTGAAGATAGAGAAGAGTTTAAAATTGTAGTAGCCAACCTCCATTGAGGAGAGGGCACTTTAAGAAGAAAAAGCGTTTTATGGGAAAAAGACCTGTTGGAAGACCTAAAAAGAGATGGGAAGACGAAGTCGATGAGGATGATTGAGGAAGCTTGTCGAAGGAGGCCAAGTCCCGATTTGGACTGTAGTGCCATTGGATGGATGAAAGCGTTTTATGGAGTTGTGGTTATTGGAAGACACGTTTTTAGATCAACATCTACAATTAGGATTTAGTACTTAAAAAGTAAGTTTTATAGTTGAAAAAATTAGTACGAACTGTTTTTAATAAATTTCATTTTATTTTAGGCTAAGGAAAAGACACTTTTAACATTACAACAAAAGAAAAATAGATTAAGATGGTAAAAAGAGCATAAAGATTGGACTCAGTCGCAATGGGATTAAATATAATGGAGTTATGAGTCCAGATTTGAAGTGTGTATATTGCTATTAGTTTTTGGTTATTTGCAAAAGCTTCATTAATTGAAGTCTGTATTGCAACGTGATTATCTAATGTGAATCTGCCTCTTCTAAAACCACTTTGGAAGGGAGTAAGAAAGTTATTATTTTCTAAGTACCATATAAGGCAAAGGTTTAAAATTTTTTCTAGGATCTTGCACACGCAACATGTAAGCAAGATGGATCGGTAAGGAGGTAGGGTTGTCTTTTGGTTTGTTAGGCTTCATAATGGGAATGAATATTGCTTGAGACCAAAGATCTGGGAATTCATGCTTTAGGAAGCAGGTATTAAATAAATCTAAGAGAATTAATTTGCCTCCGAATGGTAAGTTTTTTATGAAGACTGGTAGAATATCATCTTGTCCTGCAGAAATGTTTTTTATATTTGAGAGAGAAAACTCTAACTCTTGGAGAGGTATAGGAGCATTTAAGGGGCTGTCAGAGTTGTTAATGGGGATTGTAGAAGTTTCTATGTTTTTCTTGTATGTTAGTGATTCGTAAGAAATAGTTTTGTCGCTAAAATTTTGTTGATAGACATCAGCTAAAGCTTATGCGATTGTATTTTTGCAAGTGATTAATTTATTATTGTGTGTTAAGGTGTAATTTATTATTATTCTGTTTAATTAATAGTTTTCATTACGTTATAAAATATTTTCTATAATTAGGAAATTTAAAAATGTTGTTCGATGCATTAAAACTTCTAAAATTCACGCTGCGATCTTATTTTTTTTCTCTAAAATTCAATTTTCTTATCAATCTAACGTTGGACCAACTGATATGGGAAGTGGCTTGTATGTATAGTTATTGGTGCTTATACTATTAGTTTTAAATGATTTAAATGATACACAGTAATTTTTCACGCTAGTACGATATTTACAATATATTTTTTAACACAGACGCATAGTTTGTTTTTACGATACCGATTTGAGTAAATCACCAGAGAGTTTTGTTCTAACAAAAAAAAGAGCAAATAAAAAAAACGACCTTTCGATCGTTCCGCTGCCATGCCATTCGCATCAACGAAACAGTTGAACGTACAACCCACCCATACATAAAAGTTTTTTTGTCATGTGGACAATGAAATATGGATTTATATCTGTGTATAAATATCTGACAGGCTACCGACTGGTCTGGCCTGGTGGCACTACGTTTTTCGAAACGAAAATTACTTAGTGTGACTGTAGATTAGTATCTGATCAACCGCCCACCCGTTCAATAATTCAAAATCTGGGCGG